GGAGCAAAACCAGTCAAGTGGCCCATTGCACCACCAAATCAGTTCACCATCCATGCCCACCTTTTCCTGGTTTTATAACGGATATTGATTTTATGCTAATCAGTAGCTCTTTGCCATACCCGCTCCTTCACGACTCTGACTTTCAATGTTGTCAGAGCGCAGGCTGAGAATCTCTGAGCCTGTGCTCTGACTCACTAACTGAGCGCCGGAACCACGAGGGAGAGGATATGATCTGACTGCATCTACTGCCGGTGCACACCAGTGGACCACCAGCGAATCGTTTAAATTGAATATGCTGGTTTACCCAACTTGTGAGCTGTGTTGGCCGCCGGGCGCCTCTGTTGGCATGGCACCCTGTGTGACCGCACAGCATGCACACCCCAACGGCTGGCCCTGCTGACACACACTGATGTTACTACTTAGAAATCCCTCAATATTAATACAGACATCAGAGTAAACACCAATAAACTGTGGAAACAGAGCAGATCACCCTAAATTTGTAAAGATTTGCTTAGTGGATTTGTTGTAAGTTTAAATCATGCCTCCTCCTCTCTCTCTCTCATGTGCTGCTCTGTAGGCTGGGAGAATGTGAAGAGTAATCGCATTCTCCCAGCACAGCACCACATGTGGCTGCATGGGGAACAGATGTTTAATGTAATGCTTGCAGGACGGCCAGCTGCCGCAGAACCTCTTTGTTCCCGTCTATGCAAAGGGCTCCAGGCACTGCTTGTTGTGAGTGTGAGCCACTGTAAATTAGGGACAGAGGGCACTTGCACTGCGGTAAAGACGGGTCTGGGCAGGAGGAGAGTGCAGTGCAATCAGTGCACTCCCCTCCTGTGGGTCACCAGTAGACTAGTGCACCTGCCCAGGATCAGAGCCGGTGCAAGGATTTTTGCCGCCCTAGACAAAAGAAAAATTTGCCGCCCCCCCATGTGACATCACAATTCCCCACCCACATGACCTGCCATATATACTAACGCCAGTGCTGCACACAGTGTGTGTTTACATTAAAAAGCCTGCAGGGACCGGCTATAGACACCAGAACCACTTCATTAACCTATAGTGTCCCTTTAATGTGAGGTAAATTATAGATTAGTGTCACTAATAATATACTAGATTGCCTAGCCTACTTACAACCAGATGAGGATGATGATGGGCTGCAGTTTGACTCTAATGGTCTGGTGCAACTGTGGTCACAAAATTCAATGTTCTATGAGAATTGGAAGGAGCTCCATTTTTTGGGACCCCTTACACAGCTCAAGGTCTGGGCCCCAGGGCCTGACCGTGAGTATGCCCATAAGGCCCACTCATAAGTCCACTTATATGTTCCACCCACCAATGAGTTCGCTCACAGGGAGTGGAGTGTGTAGGGGATGTGTTATGTGTTATTGTAGAGGATCTAATATGTGTGCTTATGGTATGTAGTGTATAGGGTTACCAGTTTGTGCAGGTGATGCAGTGTGTTTGTGTGTAGTGTAAGCAGTGTGTATTTGTGTATAAGGGATGTATTATGTGTTTCTGGTTGTGTGTAAGGGATGCATTGTGTGAATCTGTGTTTGTATGCATAAGGGATGCAAGGTGTGTGTCTGTATGTGTGTGCATTGAGTGTACGAGATGCATTGTGTTTCTGTGTGTATGTAACAAAAGCAGTGTGTGTGTTTGCATGTGTGTGTAAGAGTTTGCATTGTGTGTTTCTGTGTATGTGTGCAAAGGATGCATTGTCTTTGTGTGTAATGGATGCATTGTGTGTTTCTCTGTGTGTAAGGGAAGCATGTTGTGTTTCTGTGTGTGTAGGGATGCATTGTGTGTGTGTGTGTGTGTGTGCGTGTAGTGTGAAACAGCTCCCTGTCTTGCCCCCTGTCCTATAGAGATGTCCCTTCTGTCGCTTAGAGCTCTCCCCTGCCCCTTACTGGTCTCTCCTCTCCCCCACCCTCCCCTAGTGGTCTCTTCTCACACTCACCCACCCTCCCTGTGTTCTTCTCACTCCCCCCCTCCATGTGTTCTCCTCACCCCCCTGTGTTCTTCTTACCCCCTCCTTCTTCTAACTCCCCCTTCTTCTTCTTACCCCTCTCTTCTTCTTACTACTCTCTCTTCTTCTTACTCCCCCTTCTTCTTCTTCTTACCCCCTTTTTCTTCTTACCCCCACCCCTTCTTCTTCTTTTACCCCTCTTACTCCCCCTTCTTCTTATCTCCCTCCTTCTTACTCCCCTTCTTTGATCCTCTTCTTACCTCCCCTTCTTCTTCTTACCCTCCCCCTCTTCTTCCCTCCCCTTTCCTTCTTCTTACTCCCCCCCTCCCCTCCTTCTTCTTACCCCTCCTCTCCTCCTTCTTCTTACCCCTCCTCTTACCTCCCCTTCCCTGTAGTGTGGCCCATAGATGGGCCCATCAGTTAGTCTCTGTGTCCCTCTGAATCAGCTGAATCGGAGACCAAAAAATGCCCATCAGTTAGTCTCTGTGTCCCTCTGAATCAGCTGAATTGGAGACCAGAATAAGCAGCTCTACGCGTTTCGTCTCTTGCTGGAGACTTCCTCAGGAGCA